AACACATATTTATCTATAAAAATTTAAATATTAAATTAAACCTTAAAATTAAATCCAACCCTCTATTTATATTTATATTTATTTTTATTTTATAAGTTTAAAGTTTAATAGCTAAAAAAATGATTAAACTTATCTATAATAAAAATTAAGCCGGCCATTGTTGAATTGAGTGAGGAGTCAAAGTCAATGTGTGAAACAGGAAAAACACACTTCTTAAACACTCTATTTTACTCTTAAAACTTATTTCGTGTTGACCTTTTATTATTTTCATGGGCACTTCCTTTTGTTATATTTTTATCCAATTACTTTTTTGCCCTCCTATATTTTAGTTATTGATTCGATATTATTTTACTATTTTTTAAAAAAGAAATTACATTCTTTAATGAAGTTTTTAAGAGCTCGTACGATCAGGATTTTAATTTTATTTTATTTTATTTGAGAATTTGAGTTTTAAAATTTAGGTTTGGGATCATTTATACAATGGAAGATACTTTAAAAGTTTCCTTAATATTAGGGGAGTAAAATAAATTCCATCTGATTGATGTGATCTGTTATTCTATTTGTTTGATCCGAAAATTTTGATATTCAATCTGTTTTTTTATTTTCAGATAATTCAAAATGGATATCTAAATGAATAATCAAATCATTTGCAAATCACCTAAATTCTAATTTTAGATAATTCAAAAATTCGATTAAAAACCGGCCTTCAAAGTTTAGATAACATTTAACCTAATAAATGAGTAACCCACTAATCCACTAAGGCTCTAACCTAATACAAATTATAATATTTAATTATTTATTATGTGTAAGCAATTTTTTTATAATAAAAATCGTATTATTAAAAAAAAGTGAAAATATCCAAAATTATAATAAGGTTTACAACTATCATCGTAAACTAAATACATAATTTGGACATTTTCCTATAATATTGAAACTAGCAACTTTAGATCATACAAGGATCCATACATGGAAAAGGTGAAAAAACTAACCAAAACACTCGAACAAAAAATAGATACGAGCAAATCTGATTGCATCAACAAATAAACCACAAAAAGAGATTAAGCTATTAAAATACCACCGAGTATCGAGAACCACAAATCAGAGCCAAACATTATGAGAAACTATCCACAAACACAAAATTTCATATCCAAATTCAATTTGAGGGTCCATAGTCGGAAAATCAACATGATTACAAATAAACGTCATCTTGATCAGTCGTGGTATAGTCAAATCCAACCCTGTAAACATAACACAAAAAGAATGACCAAACGACCGAAAAAAAAGATGAAAAACGTATCATAAAGACATAGAAAAACATGTCGCAAAGGTCGCACGACCTCTTAACATTACACCACTGAATCCTCAATCCTTTGCTTGATGTGCAGTGACAATACCAATATCCACTAATCGTTGTTTCTAGATACGGTTGTCGGTTGACATCTATTCTAATTCGTCGATATGAGAAGCAAATTATTGTGTGGAGGAATCAATATCTCGACATAAGCCAAGAGGCAGATCTTGTGTGTCATAAAGACATAGAAAAACATACCGCAAAGGCATAATTATTCTTTCTAAAAAACTAAAAAAGAAACAAATAGAAAAGAGAACCGATAGTCGGCAACCAACATCAAGATCAGTGCGACCGTCGGTTAAACAAAATCAAAGAAAAAAATTGATATGATTTATAGAAAACAATACAAACTCTAAAGAAAAAAAATGAGGGGAAGGGGGAGAGCGGAGAGCTGCTAGGGTTTTCCAAGCATTATGTGTAAGTAATTAAATATATGCGTTAAGATCCATTCACATAGTGTTAAATTTTTTAAGTTTTACATATTTTTAGGATCACTAAATGAACGAAAATTGAAGATTGTGATTATCTCATTTTTTTCCAGTGAATATCTTCTCATTTTCTATTGTTAATCTCAATCGTTTATTTTCACTTATCTGACGATCTTAAAAACATATAAAATTAAAAAGGTTACATTCTTTCGGGAAAAACCATGGGTAAAAGAAGAGAATTTTACTAATATGAATGAAGAAGAGTACAAGAGGAATCGGAGAAGGAAAACTTGATGTCTAGTCCTAGCCCTTAGTATTTATTTATAGGTATAGATACTTGATTACAAAGGAAACTTATAAAGTTGAAATCTACTTAGAGTAAGTTTTCTACATAAAAGAAAAATAAGCTTTCTAATTTTAGACAAATTATGTTTCTTACTTTCCCTAATTATTAATTAGTTTGCACCACATTGAATATGAGTCAAAATCTAACAGTTACATATGTGGACTAATAACTAGCATGGCAAAAACGTTAGCATAAACATATTGAGAGAATGATAGGAAATCATCTTGCATATAAAAAGAAGATAAAGTCTTTGAGCTTCAAGTACAAAAAAGTCACCTTTCCATTACCAAGGAGTAAATGTACTTAACAACTTCAAAAAAAATCTAACGCAATAACATGAAGAGTACTATAAACCCCAAAAGATCAACAATTGTATCAAATCAAGGGCAAAACCAATTAGCAATTAATAGAATAATTTGCTCCATAAGCAAAATAGTCATTTTCTAAAATTGACTACTTGATAAGCAAAATAAAGTAGCTTCATTGATAAGAAAAATAGAGAAGTTTTTTAAAATTGATTACTTGATTCAAATTATCTTAAAGACGATAGCAATGAACACAATATAAAGGTCAATCAAGATTCTTGAAGCTTAAATGTCGTGAACATTTTTAAATTACGAAAATGCCTCTTCGATTTGTAATGCAAAAAAATCACATGTTAGATATATCAATATTAATAGTAAACGATACTCTTGTTGTAGTGATCAAATATTGACAATAAACTGTATCAAATAAAAGATTAATCTTTGAACTAATGTAATGCTCACATAAAATACCTTAAAATTGTATCAATCTCGCTCATCAATCATGACTAGACCCATCAATGGTCACATATACACACACAACCAAATGACATAGATCAATCATGGAGTATAACATGGAAATTACATGCAATGTGAGCTAAACATGTCTATTTCCAACTAGTCCTCTTTAACCATTAGTGAAATTAAATTTTACCAAAATCGAGCATGGAGAAACCAAAACAAACTTTATTTATGTAGAAAATAACTTTAAAACAAATATCCTTAAACTGAAGTAACTTAAATTGTGTCGATAACAAACGAACAATAAAATTATAAACTCCCACTAAAACTGAATTGTCTTAAATGATATTACACCCACATGAGTTGTAACACCCAAATCCGAAGACTCGAGTGTCACACAGAATCATTGAAGTAACTCATCGTTTTTTTTCTTTTGAAACCATATTCACTTACAAAATGGTGGCCCAAATTTAAAAACTCGATAAATAAAATAAATAGTTAAAATAATACAAGTTGACTTGTTTAAAATCATGACCTATACATGCCCATTAAGTCATCATCTTTGTACTCTGGTACTCCACTGAGACTCCTTCGATGATATCTTTACCTCATTGCACTCCACGTAACCTATAACCTACAAACGAAAACATATTTTGAACATTGAGCTTGCAAGGCTCACGCCACACAATATCTCTACTGTACTGCATGCATTCATATCATAAGCACACTAATAAGTATAGTCATAGAAGCATTACTACTAAATCATAAATGCTACCAAACCATCTATCCAAAGTACAACACTATCGCAATGTTATGAGTCTCATGCTTCCCTTAGTTCATAACTAAAGGTCTCACCATGAGTATACATATATTGGATCTCTAACCAAGCCTCTGGTATCAATACTACAACCCTTGATGTCAATACTAAGAGACTAATATCGATACCAGGTCATCTAATATCGATATCATCACAAAATATAAAATTTAAATATGAATTTTTTATTAAATTAAATTTTATTCGAATTTGGTTGTCTACAATATCAAATATTTAATTTTTTTCAAGGCTTAAATGGTGCCCCTGAACTATACCATTTATATCGAGTTATCTCTTAAAGTATTTTTCGGGACGTTTTGCCCCTTAAAGTTTAAATTGTTACCTCATTTGTCTCAAACCATTAACTCCGTTGAAAAATACGTGGGTAAATTATAGTCACTCAACTATTTATGCAGTTATGTTTTGGTAACCAAACTATTTTTTTAAAGCATCACTAAACTTAAGTTTTTGTTCCATTTTGATCACCTAATTCAATTTGATTTATTTTAAATTTTTTAATATATAAAATTTCATTTATGTCTCATTTTTTTATTCGAAACATAAATTTAATTTATAATAATAAATAATATTATAACATAAATAATAAACAACATACTAAGTTGTCCGTACTTGAAATTTTAATATAATAAATATTTATTCATATGTGTTTTGTAAAATTTAAATCTCGTATTTTGAATATTCGATAGATTTCAATTTACGTGACCAAATCGGAATAAAAACTTAAATTTAGTGATGATTTTGAGAAAAAATAATTCGGTGACCAAAACATAATCACATGAATAGTTGAATGACTAACTATGTAATTTATTCATATATTTTTTAATGAAATTAATGGTTTAAGAAGATTAGGTAACGATTTAAACTTCATATAATAAAACATCCTGAAAAATACTTTAAAAGATAACTCAATACAAATGATATAGTGTATAAGCAATCATACGTTTAAGCTTTTTTTCAAATCAGATAATAATTTTAAAAATCTAAATTTATAAAATTTAAAATATGATAATATCTTTTATCCGAAAATGAATAACCCTACTTAACACACAACACACACACACATATATATATATATATATATATATATATATATATATATATATATATATAGTAGGGGCAACCTTGACTTTTCATAAAATAGAAAAGTAGTACCCTAAAATCAAAATATTCTGTAGAACATGATCACTCCGCCGTTAACACGCTAAGCTAACACCTTCGTTGAATTCAAATCCCTATATATATCACACAAAAGAAACAAGCCCCAAATTCGAACGTTGTAAAAGAAACAAAGGGAAAGGAAACCTACAATACAAAACAAAACAAAACGATGTCGTGTTCCGTTGCCGTATCTAACTCTCCGGTGTTTTCTCCGTCGTCGTCTATCTTCTGTAACAAAACGTCGATCCTCTCTCCGTCAGCGGAAGCTCGGAATTTAACGTTGACTCACCTCAAACCTTCGTCTTCTTCAGCTTCTCCGTCTGCTTCTTCGCCTTTCAGGCTCCGGCTTCAAAAGCCACCGCCTTTGTCTTTGCTGTCTTCTTCTGATGTTGGTTCATCAGCGCCATCGCCTTCCTCGAGTTCCGATTCGACTGCAGGCCTGGGACCGGGATCGGTTTCAACGATCTTGAAGAGGAAGAGACCGGCGAGGCTGGATATACCGGTTGCCACGCCGGGTATGTGTTTGGGGATTCCGGCGATGCTGTGTGAAGCCGGGAGAGAGTTGAAGAGCGAGGGAGATGGTTATTCAGTTTATTGTAAAAGAGGGAGGAGAGAAGCAATGGAAGATAGGTTCTCAGCTTCTGTTGAACTCCAAGGAGATTCCAAACAGGTATAGCATTTTTTCTAAGAATTGTAGAACAAGGAAATGTTGAAGTAATGAAAAAGAACAGTGGTAATTATAGGTTTAAATTCTGATTCAAACTCGGAAATTCGATCTAATTAACATCAATCTAAAATGGTCCAACTTAATTTGATCCAAACTGTGCCAAAACAAACACATCTGTTTTTTTTCTTTTAACATAAGAAGTGACGTCTGAATTTGAACTGAAATGGATGATTTGGCATCAAAATTTGAATTTGATTTAGAATGAATTTCTTAAATTGGTGGGAGTCATGGTTTTAATTATAATTGCAGGCATTCTTTGGTGTTTTTGATGGCCATGGAGGTGCTAAAGCTTCAGAATTTGCAGCCCAGAAATTGGAGAAGAACATTTTAGATGAAGTTGTTAGAATTAAAGACGAAACCGCTGTAAAGGAAGCTGTTAAACAAGGTTATTTAAAAACTGATGCCGAGTTTTTTAAGGAAGATGCCGTTGGTGGTACATGCTGTGTGACAGCTTTGATCCGAAACAGAAACCTTGTTGTATCTAATGCCGGTGATTGCCGTGCTGTTTTGAGCAGAGGTGGTGCAGCCGAAGCTCTCACCTCCGACCACCGACCTTCGAGGGAGGACGAAAAGAACAGAATTCGGAATTCGGTAAGCAATTTCACGATAAAACAATGTCCCCATGCCAGCAAACTTGATCGAACCGTGACTGATATGTGAATTTGTTCTTTTAGGGTGGCTATGTGGATTTATGCCGTGGTATTTGGAGAATCCATGGTTCTCTGGCTGTCTCCAGAGGGATTGGAGATCATCACCTTAAACCGTGGGTGATCGCCGAGCCGGAGACAAAGATCATTAGCATCGAACCTGAGTGCGAGTTCCTAATATTAGCCTCGGACGGCCTATGGGACAAGGTTAGTAATCAAGAGGCAGTTGACATCGCTCGCCCTTCATGTATAGCCATCGATAAACCAAATCCATTGTCTGCTTGTAAGAAACTCGTCGACCTTTCCGTTTCGCGAGGATCGTCCGATGATATCAGTGTGATGCTCATTCAGTTGGGGCACTATGTTTGATAGTCTTAATACAACTCATGGGATTGGCAGCGTAACATAATAGAATTATTCATTTAGAACTAATTGTTGGAGGTGTTTATGAGACAAGTAGGGTTTAGTCTGTTTATTGACCATTCATTGTGGGGATTTTTCATAATTCCCAGTCGCGTATATATATATTTAACATTCATTAACACTTGGAAATGTAAACCAGGATGTTCTTTGTAGAAATAACTATCAAATGCCGTCTCATTGTTTATATATTACTCTTCTTTTTAAAAAAATGGATATATAAATTTATTTTTTTCTACTCCTCTTAACATGCACTACACTAATTTTTAAGTATTGTTTTTAAAAAATAATTTGAAAGTGATGTGAAAGAACTACTTTAAAAAGTAATTTTGAAAAGTGTAATTTAAAATTTAATTGTTTTGAATTGCTGTTAAAAATTATTTTAAAAAGATAAAATGTCTATTTTAAATATTATATTGTAAATTGTAAATATAGTATTTGAGGATAAAAATATAATTTCACACAAAAATGATTTTCCACAGTAAAAATTAGAAAATTGAGTTTATAAGGTTAGGTTAAAAATCACTTTTGCAACCATGATTTTAAATCAATTTTTGGATGTTTAGCATTCTCCTCTTAGTACATCCACCCTTAGAGATAGACATGGGTTGGGTCGGATCGGGTTTTCGATCAAACTGATTTGATCCGAAATTATACATTTTCCATCCGAATCTGACACGACCCGAAAAATATACAGCCACCACCCAACTTGAATTCGACCCGAATTCAACCCGACTTTTTGAGATAATAAAATTTGGTTGTGAACAGCAGGAAACGAAACAGAGTTAAAATGTTGATGCATTGCACGTTAGAGTGTCGACCAGCCGAGTACTGCGTTTGCTTCTTTGTCTCGTTGTTTTACGACCAAATTTCGGCAACAAGCCCCCGCTGTTTTCCTGCCTTTTTCTAACACACTTGGACGGCTATTTGTCTCCACAGTAACAAATACCTGGCATTGCCTTCATTGCTACCTGCTAAGTGCAGTAAATTTTCAGAGTACTCAACTCTTTAAATTTATAAAATTTTGAATTATTTGAGATCATAGTTAAAACAAGAAGAGATGAAATTAAAATGATTGGAGGATTAAAGAGGATAAGCTCGAATTGTAATCCAACAATTAAAGTGAAAAAAATAGGTGTTGGTTAGTAATTGTAGAAGAAAAATTGAAGATTTGGATAAGCGTGAGGTGCGCAAACAATAATGCGATAGACACGAAGACTGTTGCTTTTATAACTTGAGCGGAAGGGAATGTGTCGTGTGATTTATAACAGTAAAGAGAAAATGCAATCCCAACACAACACTCCAAAGCTTAGCTATGGTGTTCAGTGTTTTGCCTTTGGAGCAAAGGAGCTTTCCAATGCAAACACGACAACATCCCAACAAGCTCACTTGGCCATAATATCCACCCACAAAGGCTCTATTATTTGCCACCCAGCTGGCTTTTCTTTTATATGTATAAAAGAAGGCTTCAAATTGACTAAACCCATCCAAGATTTTCAGTTTAAATGGACAATAATTTATCTCTTTTCGTTTTCCTTTCCCTTTAGGTAAGTGAATTCTTGTAGCTTATCCGATCCAATACCAGTGGAATATTTGTGTGATATCATATAAATTTGTCAAAAGGCATGGTCTATTCTTGAAATAGAATCAACATATAGTTTGAAAAAGGCAAAATTGGTAAAACGATACGTACCCGCAATTTGGACCGTCATTATCTACTCACAACTCCTGAACCTAGCCAAATATCAGTACAAACATCATTTTTACCCCCATTCCACTCGACCCTTAATTAATCAACCAGCTAATTGGTTATTTAGTATTTAATAAAGTCAGGTGGAGCACGTCAACAGACTTGTACTCGCAAAAAAGACAGAGACAAGCATCGAGTTGGGGATCTATCTCTTAACCAACACCCTCAATTTTCTTTTATTGTTGCGACGTGTACCTGCCAGTTTCTGCCACGGTATCTGATCGTTAGGTTTTAATTGAAACAGCACTCTCGAACCCATACCTTTGAATCTAGTGGACGTGTTTTTTTGGTTTTGGCCACCCAACTTCAACTTGCCACCTTCATATATTATATTCCCACGTTCTTCACAGCCACATGAAAATTTATCAATCATCTTCTCAGTTCCGTCTATATATATATATGTATGTGTACACACATACACATTATTAATAGATTAAAAATATTTTAAATATATATTATTTTATACTCATTTTCTAATAATAAAAAATTAATATTAATTTTTAAAATGACCACCGCACGTTAAAATTAGAAAACACCATGCCACTAATCAAAAGCAAGTAAAAGAGGCCTGAGTCATGATCCTCCAACTAAATGAACGGCTTAGATCAACTACAATTGGCAAAAGGATAAGGATAAAACCCAGAATCATCCTCCACTATCCATTTTACGTCAAAACACATGCCCAGTTCCTTACTCAAACAAAATAAAATAATCAAACCGTTTTCCGGTTTATCCATCTGTAAATTCCACGTAGGCCTCAAATATCATTATAAAAATATTTATCTCACCCGTATTTAAATACCAACGTTTGGGACATCAAAAAACATACGCCAACGAGAACATAAAAAAAAAACTCGAGTTTCATAGATGGAGAAACAGAGCAATACACAGAAAACTTCATGGACAAGAGGGGGGTTTATAGGCAAAGGCTCCTTCGGTACCGTAAGTTTGGCAGTCAACGAAACCAACGGTGCCGTTTTCGCTGTCAAGTCCGTCGATTTAGCAACGTCTCTTCCCAACCAGTTGGAGTCTTTAGAGAACGAAATTAGGATCCTCCGTTCACTCTCCTCTCCTTACGTGGTTAAGTATCTCGGCGATGACGTCAATCCTTCGAATTCCTCCCGGAATCTTCACTTGGAGTACATGCCAGGCGGCACCGTTTCTTACGAAGCGAATGTTAAACGCCGGTTGGCTGACGTGGACGAAAGTACCCTGCGGTGGCACACGCGGTGCTTGGTTTCGGCTTTGAAGTACGTGCACGGTGAAGGCATTGTGCACTGTGATGTGAAAGGGAGAAATGTTTTGCTTGACTCGGATTCCACTTCCGTTAAGCTCGCGGATTTCGGCTCGGCGATTGCGATTAAAAAGGAAAGCGACGGAGAAATTCCTAAGCATTTTATCACGCCACGTGGAAGCCCTCTATGGATGGCGCCGGAGGTGATTCGCGGCGAGTATCAAGGGCCGGAGTGTGATGTTTGGTCTTTGGGATGCACCGTCATCGAGATGATCACAGGGAAGCCAGCTTGGGAAGATCACGGTTTCGACTCACTATGTCGAATTGCTAACTCGGATGAATTGCCCGAGTTACCGACTCAGCTATCTGAACTCGGCAAGGATTTCGTGGACAAGTGTCTGAGAAGGGACCCGAATCAAAGGTGGAGCTGCGATCAACTGCTGCAGCATCCATTCGTAGCATCGGCTTCGCCACCCAAAATGATCCGCGAATCATCTCCGCGTTGCGTGATCGATTTCCCGAGCTCGGATTTCGACGAAAACACGGAGAATTTTGAATCGTCGGCGAGGGAGAGGATTGGTAAATTAGCCGAGGAAGGAGGGGTAGTTTGGGAATCGGATGGCTGGGCCACTGTAAGGAGTTACGCTATTGAATCACGTGTGAATTGCGAGGAAGCAACAAGTGAGGAATATCCGGATTCGATGAGGACACGTTTGGAAATGTCCAATTGTTTCGCAACCGGTATTAGCAATAGCAGCAATTCAGTGGACTGCCAGTTCGGTGACATCGAGCGTGTGGGAGAGGTAAAATCGTCATTTGATGATCTACGGTGTGGTGGGTGGAGGTGCGAGTGGTTGACTAATCCGAGCTGTGGGTATGGGTCACAAAAGGTTGCGTTTGCGATGCCGGTCAAGGAATGGTTGAGATTCAACAGACTCTGTAATTTTTTATTACATTTAATATTATTGGGAAATTTTTATTCACTAATTCTATTATTTACTCAAAAAAAATTCCATGCCAAATCGACCATTCTTTTTCGCAATTCCATAATTTACCAGTCATTACAGGAATATTCTCCGACTTCCCATTCCAAAACATTCTGGATTTTGACAGAAATTTAAGGCATGCTCATAGGCCACTAACGTCAGTAATGACATCTATCTGTTCAACAGCTCAAAGGGTAGTTATTCAACTTGGTTTAAACTTTAATCAAATAATATATATAAAAAAAAAGGAACTGAGATGAAAGAATACATAAAACCCATTTGTTTAAACATATTCCTAAACATTCTGATTTTTTTAAACTCTTTTAAAAATATCAAATCATTAAACCGCAATCTCTAAAAAATTGTCATTTTTTGAACTTTGTTCTCTTATTGTTTTGCCGACCATTGTTACGTGTTTAGAGAATTAATGTACACACAATTTGTATAGAAGAGTAGTTTCTTTTAAGGTACAATTATAATATAATGTTTAATTTTACATATGTCCAAGTCCATGGGACTGAAAATCCTTTATTGACGGCTTCTTTGGCGATTGAGAAGACACATAAAAGATGGAATCTCAAGTTGGTGTGTGGGATATAACCACCAACTCCATTATTTTATTTTTTAATTGCACCTATTCTTATCCATTAAGATATGCTTGGTTGATAAGAAACAATTCTAATGAGATTTAAATAAGAAAGAAAATCCACCCTCCAGTTATGCTTAGACGAAGGAGAATCTTCTTTTTAACACAATTTTGTTGTGGAGTTGGGATGTTTCCTCTTCACGACATGGAGATTTTCAAATATGTTGGTTTGGAATTTGGATTCACATTGTCGTTTGAAGCTTCCCACGAATTTGCTTTGCATGTATATCATATTTCCTTTGTCTCTTCAGAGTGTGTTGGCAGAAGATTATTGATGTGTGAGCAAACAACATGGAAATTTGCAATATGAAATGCCAACTAAGGATGTCAGATTCCTTCATAGGATTCGAAGCTTCCCACCAATTTCCTTTGCATGGAAGGTCCAACACAGCATAATTTCTGGGAAACTAGGTCTATATTTCCTTTATTCACTCGCATCAAGTGATTTCGGCGGTTAAAAAATATAATATTCTCTCTATAGATCTTAAGTTCGAGTAACTGTATTTACAGGGTGTGTTCGTTGTCAATAGTTAAGAAAAATTCTAAATAATTACTCCTTTATAATCAGCTCATACTAAAAAAAAAACTCTTCCTTCCGCGTTCCATTTCGTACATTCATCGAGCTTAGTCCCACGGCAATCTCTAGGGACCACCGGAAAATATTGATTATATCCTAATAATGTTAAATAAAATCTAAAATAATTAATTATTTGGTCAAATGATGTTTGACCCAAAAACAAATATTAAACTGATCCGCCAATGGGCTCAACAAAGGAGTAAAACACTCAACAGGGTATAACTACATTATAGGCCATGGGCCCCAAATCAAGGAAAGGCCCACAAAATAGACAATTGATAAATAAAAGGCTAAATATAAAAAATGCCTAAATTATAGGCCTAAGGCCTTTGAGTATATTGTAAAAAAAATCTTTGAGTAACGTTGGAAGTCGATATGTCAAGATATATCAATAAACGATCACAATGACATGCACAATCGTAGTGATAAATCGAACACGATCTTACATTTCTTTATCACGAAAATAATGATTTTGGAAGGAATTTCCTAAAGTGACGTTTGGTTGGCATGAATCCCTTGGAATTAGAGGGAATTGGAATCCAATTCCACCACTTTCCCATGTTTTGTTCAAATTTTCCAAGGGAATTGAAATCCCTCATGGTTTCAACTTTCTATCAAATGAGAGAAAGTGAATTCCATCCATTCTATGATGGAATTCAATTCCCTTGTTGGAGGAAATTGAAATTTGACCATACTACCCCCCATAAATCTTTTGGTAACTTATTCATAAGGAATTGAAATTTGACCATACTACCCCCATAAATCTTTTGGTAACTTATTCATATATTGAATAAAAATATTTTTTATTATTTCGGGTCGGGTCGGGTAAAACTTTATTTTGGTCGGGTCGGGTCGGGTCGGGTTCGGGTTTAGGGTGAAAAATACCCGACCCGACCCAAAAATATATAATTTTATCTTATATATTTAGGAAAATTTACAATAATACCCCTCTATATATATTTTTTCCCAAATAAGTCTGTTTTTATTGAATAAAAATATTTTTTTTATTATTTCGGGTCGGTCGGTTTCTAATTCATATATTCGGGTCGGGTGAAACTTTATTTTGGTCCGGTCGGGTCTCGGATGGAGATTCCCTTGTTCTCGGGTCTGGTTGGGTGGACCAAAAACCCGACCTATGGCCATCCCTAATTGGGATGATTTTAACTTATGATGTTTATTAGCATGATTTTTATAATTTATTGAAATGAATAATCAATCAATAAAATTAAAAATTAATTTTTTTAAATTTTTATAATATTTTGCTACATGTAATTTATAAAACAAACTAAAATTAAGCAAAAAAAAAAGAAGGGCAATCGTGTCATTTTACATTACTGAAATCAAATTCATCTAACATGTCTGCGAACCAAACAAAATATGGAATTGGATTCCAATTCAATTTTCTGCCAACCAAACAGAATATGGAATTGGATTCCAATTCCTGACAGATTCCAATTCCTTCACAGATCTCAATTTCTTCACAGATTTCAATTCCCTCATAAATATTCCAGCGAACCAAACGCCACCTTAGTTTTTTCCTATTCTAAAGTTCTAAACTTGTGTGTAAGAAGTATCTCAACTGACCTATTTATAAAGGAGAGGAAATGAATCAGAATGTATTAATCTTTTGACGAAGAGTTAAAACCTTTCACGAAAAGAATAGTTAAAAAGCTAATAAGTATAATTAAATGATGTAACTTTAAATAAAAATAAGTTTATTTAGCAAGTGACATTACTTATTATAACAAGTCTATTCACCAAATGGCATGACTTATTATAAATAACGTTAATTTTTTTCAATTATAATAAAAAATTAATTGACTAAATATGCATTGAAACAATTAAAAATCTAGTATTTGATCAATTCGTGACTCGGATATGTCGTGTTTGTGCACCAATTCTTTCATGTTATCAACGTGAATAGTGTTCACGTTCTTTCCAATGACGATACGATTGAAAGTGTTTTGGAAATATGTCCGATGTTCACTTTTAATCCATTTGTTATAAAAATAAATGGATAAAGTACATTATTAGTCATTTAATTATTAACGTGTTTTATTTAATAATTGTATTATAAAAAAATTCAATTTCATTAGCAATATTTTGAATTGAGTTTGTTTTGATCATATTTTGTTAAATTATTAACTGAAAGAATTAATGATATTATCCTTTTAAATAATATAATATATATTTTTCAAAATTTATTTTATAATATACAAATACAGAAACAATATTTTCCATAATTATATCAAAAAAATATTCTTCCTAAATTAAATTCTAGCCAAAAACTTCATTTTCTAAAAAAAAACCATTGTATCAAAACCCTAGAATGCATATTTTTTGCATCCCTGTTTAGATAGAGGTTCATGGTTTTATAAAAAGATGTATTTTTTTAGTTAGGCCCGTTTGGTAATGATTTCTAAAATTACTTTTAGGGTGTGTTTGTTTGGCTGTAATCGGTTTTCTGTAAATTGAATTTTGGAAAATGAATTACTGAAATTTGAATTTTGGAAAATGAATTACATTTATGGAAAACGTCTTCTGGAAAATGTTTTCTGTAAAATGAAATACATTTTTTTGAAAAACATCTGGAAAACGTTTTACGATGTTTGAAAGATGTTGTTTAAACATTTTTTCCACTAGTTGTTAAGTTTTTTAAAAATTATTTATTACAAATATTAAATACAATAAATAATATTATTTATCATAAAACTTAATATTATTATTTTTAAAATATTAAATAATTTATTTATTATTAAATATTATTTTTATAATTTTATTAATAAAAATATTAATATTGGTATATTTTATAAAAATATTATAAATTATATTAATTATTTATTAAAGTAATAGTGTTATATTATATTTTAAAAATATTAAGTAGTATATTTTAAATATCTTTATTAAAATATTATTAGATTATTATATTAATATTAAATATATAAATAATATTATTCATTATTAATAATTTAATAATATTATTTCTATGAAATTAATAAATAATATAAATTTTATTAATAATTTATTATATATTATTAAAATAAAAATATTATATTATATTATATTATTATAAATATTAATAAATATATTTTAAATAGTTTAATAATTAATATTTTGATTAAAATGATATTAAAATATTTTATTAATATTAAATTCATAAAATAAAATTATTTTGAGTATTTATTTTTTGAAGTGAAAAGTTCGAAAAATGACTTACGGAAAATCAGACCGTAAGTCATTTTCCAGAAAACACAAAGGAAATTTTGTTGACCAAAAAAATGTTTTACGTTGACCAATTAGTTTTCCTCCAACCAAACACTGGAAAACATTTTCCGGAAAACGAATTACGTGAAACAAACACGGGAAAACATTTTTCGGAAAACGAATTACGTAAAATAAACACGGGATTTCGAAAAAAATCAATTCCGTAATTAGTTTTCCGCCAAACAAACAGACCCATAGTTAAAAAATTTGTTTTAACCGCAAAATCATTGTCAAACGAGTAAATAATGAAAAAAAACGGTGAAAACGATAGTTTCAAATCAACCACAAAAGCTAGGATTTCTAGCTTTTTTATTTTTCACTTTGCATTTAGAAGCAATTTATAATTTTACCTTTACTAATGCATGGACTCCACTCAATTATATGTTTATTATTTATTTTAATAATTTAATACTAACATCCTTAAAAAAATAATTTATTACTTAATAATCTATTTTAATGACTTAAAATTAAATAAAATTCATGGTTTATATATTAAAATATTAATAATAAGTTATTATAAAATATATTTTTATTATAATTATATTTTTTATTTGTAACTTTTAAAAATATTTTTTTTAAACTCACTTTTATAATCAATTTCAAACCGTTAATTTTAAATTATACTTTTGTACAACACTTTTAAAAAATTGTTTCTACATCACTTTTAAAAATAAATTTTCAAAAGCTATACCATACTGGCATTTAGTTTACCATATTATACGATAAACAATGATTTAAAACAATTTGGGTATTTTAAAACTTATAACAAAAGATACATTATGATTATTAAAGCCTAAAATAATTTTTTAATAAATAAATCCTAAAGACGTAGTAAGAAATTAGTGGTTAATAAATAAATTAGACATAAATATATACCAAAACCCTAGCTATCAATGAATATCGAAATATACATGCAAATATCATACTCATACAATTAACTATAGTAAATTTTATAGGATTTTATTAAATATGTAAGTAATAATTATGGCACTGAAAAATTATATATATATATATATATATATATATATATCAACTAACATATCTAAAAATAAAACATATTTGTTGTTCAAAAAATAAATAAAACATATTTAATGATATCTAGATGCTTAAAAAAACACCTATCCAAAGCCTCTGCCTTTTTCCTGTAAGTTTTTCCCTACTCTTTTGGGTCTTTTACGCAGCGATTCAATTACCATTTTGAAATGATTTTCTGGGTTTTGGAAATTGAGTGTCCTCGATCAGATGTTTTAGATTTTTGCTGTCATTTTCAAGATATTAGGATGTAGAAACTCATCGCATTTTATTAGTTATTTAATATTACCATAATCACAAGCATTTGATTCAATAATTCATATGTTTATCTTCATATGCTTTCGTTCAAAATGTAATCAGTTATGCAGGTTGAATACACTTGGAATTTTACGACTCATATCTGCACTATGTCTCTGAACACAGGTTTTTGTTCTTGATTCTGATAAACTCGCTACCACCTTAAACATGGCGAAATCTTCGGTAAGGAACTAAGCCCTTAAGCACTGTGATAGGAATTAATAAATAATCTTGTTATGTGTTCTCTTTTTAGGCTCAGCTAACTAGAAGTATGAGGAGATTAGAGTCCAAAAAGCCACATTCATGGTGGTGGGATAGCCACATCTGCCCCAAGAACTCAAAATGGCTTGCAGAAAATCTTGAGGGTAAGCAAATATAAGTTTGTCTTCTCTGAAATTTTAGAAGTTCGCCCTCGAGCATAAAATTCTGTGTCCGTTCCTGGCTAGAATGGTTAGAAAATGAGTTTTCTCCATGTTTCCGAGTTGGTGCTTTCTTTTCTTTCTTGCATATGCATAAAGAGCTAAATGTTCTAATGGTGACGATGATCTTCCTATCAGTAAAATGATGATGTTGTTTATGTTTTTCAAGATGCAATTGTTAATACACGATAAAGGGCGTGGTAGTATAATATTAGCAATCTAATGCTTTCCCGTACCCTCATACAGGAGTTTGTTTCTGAATTAATTTGAATTGCTTCCTATGTCAAACAAGAGAAAATAACAGTAAGATTGGTGACTACAGAAATGGATCGTAGAGTAAAAAAGATGCTGAAGCTGATAGAAGAAGATGCAGACTCCTTTGCAAAAAAGGCTGAGATGTATTATAAGAAGAGGCCGGAACTCATAGCTCAAGTTGAAGAGTTCTACCGCATGTATCGTTCTTTGGCCGAGCGTTATGATCATCTGACGGGGGAGTTGACGAAGAATATACCGTCAGACATTCAGTCTCAGGGTTCTGGCATCTCTGAAATTGGCTCTGATCTTCCCCCTAGATGTCCCTCCCCGGATCTAAGGCCGAGTCGTCCTGAATCTGGCCTACGTGCTGCTGGTGAGAACAACTCTGATGTGTACCCGAAAGGAGATAAGTCATCTTCTTCAACAGATTCTGAACCGGAATCTGATGATTACTCAGTTTTATCAGGGAATGAGGGTGATCAAGGGGTGAGTGGGAAAATGGCTGAACTGGAGATTGATCTCAATGAAATGAAAGAGAAGCTACGGATGCTAGAAGAAGGGAGCATTGAAAGGGGAGCAAAGAATGATAATTCGGATCTTCTTGCTAGAATTATTGAGTACGAAGAAAAAATGAAAATTGGTAATGAACGAATACAGCTTTCTGAAGAGAAAATCACTTCGTTGAAGATTGAGCTCCAGAAATACAAACAACTCGGAACAACTGGCTCAGAATCATGGATAGAAGAAAGTGTGAAGATGGACAAAGAAAATGAACATGTAGTTAGCAAGACGCAGGCATTGCTGGAAGAAAATGCTAGTTTGAAGCTTGAGAAGAAAGATCTGCAGGGTCATCTCGATTTGACTCGAAGGGAAATTGTGGAGCTGAAACTGGAGCTTGCTAAGAGAAGCAATTACATTAAAGTTCTAAATGAAGGTCTTGAGACTTCAAAATCAGAGAGAAATGCGCTTAAGAGCGAGATGTATTCACTCAAGGCTAGTGTTAGTTCCAGGGAAGTTCGGATTGTTCAAATGGGCATGCACCTTCACCAATTACATATGGAACATGTGAAGCTAATTGCTAAAGCTGAAGCATCTCAAAAATCGGAGGAGGAATTGGTATCCAAAGTTAAGGAACTAGAGGGTGAGATCAAGAGGCAAAGAATCACAATACTCGACGGAGCGGAAGAGAAACGAGAAGCTATAAGGCAGCTTTGCTTCACCCTCGAGCACTACAGAAACGGGTATCATACGCTCCGGCAAGCATTTATCGGTAATAACAGAGTTCCGGTTTTAACAACATGAATAATATGCAATGCTATAATGAAAAGGATTTGAAGTTTGTTCATATTTTGGTGTATATTTGATGTTTGAACAGTTTTCCCAGTGATCTTATCAGAGTCCCCACTCTCAACATATCAGTTAAATCACCATCATAAGTAATAAGAGGGATTGATGCTGCAATGGTTTCTGTTTATATCTTGCATTTAAAGAACCCTGTGTATATTTAGGGTATCCGTTAAAGCTGGGTCACCCTTAATTTAGACCCCCCCAATTATGAGGTCCTTTGAAATATATTAATCGCATGCCTCTGAAATATATATTAATCCCAAAGTCTCCTTAAAATCTTACACAAGAATAAAGAGATCATTAATCTGATTCAACCACCCTCGAAAGGTACAATAGAGAAAATAACATCAGTGACCGAAAATTCCTTATAATATACGATTTTGACCAATTTTTTTTCGAATTGCCAAAATGATCAACAAAATCGCAATGCGATCTCTAAATTGCAACGCGATCTCCAGTATCGCAAATCAGTTTCCAGATTCGCAACGCGATTTTGACTATTGCATTGCGATTTTCCAAATTCGCGTTGCGATTTTGTAAAATCGCAATGCGAATATGTAAATCGCAACGCGATTATGACTATCGCAACGCGATAATACATAATCGCAACGCGATAATACATAATCGCAACGCGATTCTGACTATCGCAACGCGATAATACATTATCGCAACGCGATAATACATAATCGCAATGCGATTCTGACTATTGCAACGTGATAATACATAATCGCTACGCGATTCTGAATATCGCAACGCGATAATACATAATCGCAACGCGATTCTGACTATCGCAACACTGAATTTTAAATTCGCAACAGGTTTTAGTTTCGCAACACAAATGTTTTGGGTATATAACTACGCAGCAGAAGCAACTCATAACCTAAATCCCTTAATCGCAACTCATTCCATCTCCATCTATCACTCTCTCCGGCGACATCCGTTCCTATATCCAACGACATCCTTCCCCATCCCGCAACATGTTTTAGTTTCGCAGCTCGTTTGTTTAGTAAATTAATTTACAATAATGAAATCATCTAATGTTGATCATGTTTGGATAGATTTGTGTTTTGGAGGGTCATGGGAGAATGTTCATGGTGTTTTACAATATATGCCTTTACCCATGAATCTTCAATTAAAACTGTCATTAAAAAAGTTAACTTATGAAACTCTAATGTTACGTGTTGCAAAGAAATTGAATTTAGAGCTCTTAAGTGGATTTAGGCTATCTTATTAGAGAAAAGGTAAAGTTTATTTGTTAATTGACAATGAAGATGTTGAACGATTCATTTCTTACATTAGTGTTTCGCAAGATAATGTTACATTGTATGTTGTTGAACCTAGAAGTAGTGAAGTTGAGTCAGTAGCGGGTAGTAATCAACTAAGTTTTTCAACCCCAGTTTATGGTGCTCAAAATTTAATGGTTCCACCACAATTTCATCACCAAGCAAATTTTGTTTCACCACATTTCCAATACCAAACACAATCTCAAAACCCACAACCTTTCCCTAATCCAAATCCAATCAACTTCAGCACTAAATTCCGGTTTTCATATTAACCAGTTAGACGATGATGAGCCAACAGAAAAAATTGTGAGTACTAGTCGGTATTCGAAATTTGATCTTGGTCAATACCCAAACTTTGATCTTGGTCAATACTCAGATTTTGATGATGTTTCAGAAGAAGAAACAGACCCTGCGTGTAATGATTTTGATATTGGTCAATACCCGAATTTTGATGATGAAACAGCCGCTGCCGAGGAAGATGTTGTTGATGATAATAAGGAGGAAGTTACGACTGTGAATGAACATGTTGAACATCCATTTTGCAATTCATATAACCCTAAAGAAGAAAAAGAAGAAGAAGAAATCCCCGAAAAAAGTCCCCGAAGAAAATGTCACGGGAGTATAACTGGAATATGCCAGAATTACTTCAGATACTGGAAGAAGAGTTGGTAAAAATAGCAGTTGATTGTTACACAAAAATTATTCGTATCAAGAAAGATGATTGTTTTAATACAAAGGAAGACTTAAAGATAGCTTTGTATACGAAATGTGTGGAAGATGGCTATCAACTAAAAGTTAACAAATCAAGCAAAGATCGTGTCGAAACATACATGTTCAAGAACCCAAGTTTTTCCTCACCATAGACAGGCAAACAAAAAGGTGTTGGGTGGTTTTCTGGCTGAGTTAATGTTTTTGAATGGCAGGGTATATCGGGGACATGAAATTATGACTAACATGAATGCTCGGTTCAAGATTAGTATCTCATATTCTCAAGCTTGGAGAGCCAAATGTTATGACTTGGAATTATTGAGGGGGTCGCCAAGATCGTTTGCCCAACTGCCACTTATTGTCACAATTTAAATTGAGGGGGAAAATCCTGGATCGTTTGCCCAACTGCCTCTTATTGTCACAGATAAATGATTATATTTCTTGTGTATATGATTTTGTAGATTCGTTCGTTTATTACTTGCATGCGCCCAGTTATTATAGTTAACGTATCACATTTAAAAGGTCGATATCTTGGAGTAAACTTATTAGCAGTAGCCATGGATGCTAACAATGGGATACTGCCAATAGCTTATGGGGTTGGCAAATCTGAAACCTCTGATTCATGGACATGGTTTATGGGGCATCTTAGGGACTTCATAGGTCCTATTAGCAATCTGACAATCATATCCGATAGGGCAAACTCAATTGACAACGTTGTTAGAAGGTGTTTCCCATATGCTTTTCATGGACTTTGTGGTGTTCATTTGTATAGAAATCTAAAATCAAGGACTGCTGGTATAAAAAAATCATAATAGACATACTGGAAGGCTGTAAAAGCTATCGGGAAGTGGATTTTAATAGCATATAATTGTTTAAGACGTGTTTTGCCTCAGTGTGCTCAAACACTAGAAGATGTCAGGTTTGAAAGATGGTCAAGAGTACATCAACTTGGAGCAAGATATGGTTTTATGACGTCTAATAATGCAGAATCAATCAACGCTCTAAGTCGTCATTCCTGGAAATTACCCATTACTATGTTAATGGAGTTTTTTCAAGCCTCTATTCAACAGTGGTACTACAAGAAAAGAAACCATGCATGTATTATTTCTTTAAATTCGTAACTTATCATATATTTTACTAAGTATTATTTATTTAAATTTACAGGAACATTGGAACATCGTGTTACACCATGGACTGAAAAAAAGATAACGAAACGTGTTGTGAAGTCAACGTCATGGAGAGTTGAACCATGTTCAAACACTTTGTTTGAAGTACTGGATAATAACTTAAATGGGCTTGTCGATCTAAATGTAAAGACGTGTAGTTGTATGAAATGGCAAACATCTGGTTATCTGTGTGGCCATGTTATAAAAGTTGCTCTTCATCTATTCAAGCGCATACGCTATGGATTGCTACACTACAGAAGTATATCGACAGACTTATGCCGAGATTATCTACCCTATTCCACATCCTTCTGAGTGGGACATACCAGATGAGTTACAAAACAGTTTTGCCACCAGCCATTGATAGAAGGCTACCTGGCCGACCAAAAAGTCACGATCGTATACCGTCTAAGGGTGAAGAGAAGAAGAGATCGACATGTAGTCAGTGCAAGAAAAATGGTCATACAAGGTTGACATGTGGATCACCAGTGCCATCACAATCATCTTTTCCTCTACAAAAATATGGATCCTCATCAAAATCCAAAGCTCATATGGTGTCAAGAAAAAGGCAATCAAAATCGCAATCAAAATCAAAATCCCAATCACAACCGGCTTCACCTTTTGGGACTATTAACTTAGGTGATTTTTAAATGCAAACATTGTATTATGTGTATTTTATGTGTAAACTTTTAACATTTTCAGTTAGGCATGTATTAGTAACTTGAGTTTGAACATTGCTATGATCTGTTCAGTTGTTATCACTTATTACACATTCATTTGAATATCGCAAAGCGGATTTGACTATCGCAACTCAAAAATTGCAACGCGAATTTGACTATTGCAACACAAATATGACTATCGCAACACAAAAATCGCAACGCGAATTTGACTATCGCAACACGAATTTGACTATCGCAACGTGAATTTGATTATCGCAACGGGTATTTAACTATCGCAACGATAAAATAACAAAGCGTATTAGACTATCGCAACGCGAATTGACTTTCGCGTTGCGATTTTGGCTTTCGCATTGCGATTTTGAGTTTAGCGTTGCGAAAGTGTACCTTAAACAGGTCTTTTGCCTTCAATATGATGCAGATTGAAATCAACAAATCAACTTTTACATTTCAATCAATTAAACAAGCACAAATAAGAATTATTTACACATCAATATTAAACAAATCAACTTTTACAAACCAATTTTTACAAATCAATTAAACAAACAAAAAATGCTAATAATTCTTATTTTTTCCTCATCAATTAAACAAATCAGACTTTTAAGAATCAATTAAATAATAAAAAAAGTGTACCCCAGACAGTTGTTTATGCACCCATACATCAATTTCACGCAGCTCACTTCAGGATTAACCTGCAGAAACCAAACATTTGCTCAAACAACACTTTCTACACATCTAAAACCAACAAACAACAAATTATTATTGAATTCTAAGTACCTAACAACACTTACATTTGACTTACAAATTGTTTATGGACACTTTCATAACGCGGATGCAGGTAGACAGCGTCTCACATATATCGCTCTAGCTATAAAATGCCGAAACCACAAGCCTACTGCACCTCTATCTCTATCGGTGGGAGGTAGAAACTGACCACAATCCCCTCTAGCTTCCTGCATTTGTTGTGGCGCGGTCTCGCCTCTAATAACTGTAACATTGAACTTCTTTGGATTATTGTTTCCAGAATAAGTCCAATAATTAATCGCATCCAAGAATTTAGCCAAATTAGAGCTCCATCCCTTAATAATATCTCTCAAATCAGACAATGATATGTAATTTATCATGTTGTCATATACTATTGCCTTCA